TTTTTCTGAAGTGTAAAGCCTGTTATCAGTAATATCAGCTGTCAATGTCAGATGGTCCTCATACAAAGGAATTGATAAATGAATAGCTTTAAGCCAGATTTTGATATTTGGAATGTAATCTACATTTCATCAACAGGCATCAAACTCAAGTCTAACTCTTATATAAACAGATGAAAGTGTCTTCAGGATAAATCTTTATATTGCCCCAGAAAACCTGAATTGGAACCCACATGACTTAGACAAGTTACATAAATCTCTTCCATGGCCATATAATTGATTCAGATGTGTGAATGTGTTTTTTTTTTCTCCACATCAATGTAATTATGAAAAAGATGATTTTCCATGATAAAAGAAAACAGCTATACAAATGCTATACAAAATGAATGCTATACAAAAATCAACATTGCTTCAGCATGCAGTGCACTGAAAATGAAAACACATAGAAGGTGAGGCCCTTTTGTAGAGCAGGATCTAAGCAGCTGTCCCCTTGGAAATAACTGGACAGTCATTGTCTAGTTTTAGCAATTTAAAGCTTTCATCGAAAGCACTATAAAATAGTGCCCTAGCAGGGAAGCAGCTTTATTATGCAGAGGAATATTCTGATATATAATATTTACATTTTTAAAAAATCCACAAACTGGAATGGGTTCTAGAAATTTAATTTAGTTTTAAATTGGTAATCAATGAGGCAATTGCCTGCTTGAAAGAGGGAAGAAATGGCCACATTAGCCATAAGTAACCTGTTGGTGATAAAAAAAAAAAACATGCAGTAAACATGGTGTGTAGTAACTACGGTACGTATATGGATCTTGGTGATTAACTTGGCTTTTAAAAATAATTGTTAAGCCTCTTTTAGAATTTACGCTGTAGCTTTCTTGCTTTTTTGACTCAAAATTGTGGAAAATTATACCACTGATATTCAAGGTACATGTATGTCATTTTATATAGACTCTGGAAGAAGCTGTTCTTGAATTCTTTTTAAAATTCTTTTTAATTAGTTATCATTTAGTTTATGGTGATCAACAGTTGAACAAGTGTTGATATTAAAAGCTGGCAAGTCAAACAAAGTCTAATATTTTAAAATACAAAATGTAGTAGCATTAAAATACCTTGCAAATACCATAAATATTCTGTACTCACTTATTTCCAAAGAAAAATGGAGCTGAGCCTAGTCTATTTGACAGAAGATTCAGACATTCTTTTGCATCTCTGTAGATCTAAGATGGAGAAAAGTTCATTTGCACAAAACATTTCTAGTACTTATTTCAAATCAATATAGTATCTTCATAATAGATAGTAAAGTATTAACTTTGACATTAACTATCCTATATCACAATGTTGAAAAATGTGCCATTACAGACACAGCCATTTGCAGCCAAACATAACGTTGCCAAAATAACATGTACGTGATGATGTCATCAAGTAAATGCTATTAGCATACTCTTGTGTCTTAATATTTAACACAACTGCATAACTTGCAATATTTGCATAACACCATCTCATATATGCTGCAATTTGATTCCTCATGCAACAGTTACGGAATATCTTTATTAATCTTAAAACAGTTCTGAGAACGTGACTCTTGTTTGTGGAAGCATACAAAACACCACAGTTCTACTTACTCCATTATATATTAGCCCATTTTCTCTGTTTTTACAGGATTTTACAGAAGCCCTGATGGCACAATGGTTAGAATGCAATATTGCAAGCAAACTCTGCCCATAGCCTAGAGTTCAGTCCTGATGTTGCTCAAGTTGACTCAGCCTTCCATCCTTCCGAAGGTGGTAAAATGAGGAACCAGATTGTTGGGGGCAATATGCTGACATCGTAAACCGCCCAGAGAGTGCTGTAAAGTACTATGGGGTGGTATACAAATGTGTTATTGCTGTTTTTCTCTGTGGCTGATTCATTTTGTTATCATATTATTCCTACAAATCAAGAGTAGGGAACCTGTATTTCAATACAGGAAATATACTAAAATTGGAGTGAATGTGCTATCACAGCCTTATCACAGTTTACAAAATTAAGAATCCTTCAAAAACTAATGAAAAAAGTTAGCTCGGTGTTGTATTTCTGTTCCACCTACAATGTTCCTTGAGCTCCCCAAAAATGTTGTGCAACCCTCTGCCACCAAAAATTTGTTCATCCTTAATAACCTAATTTATCAAGCTACCCCTGAATTTTGTAATGCTTCAGTTAATACAAAATGCAGCAAAATGTATATCTTGAATGTATCTTCAAACAAGTTATCAAATGTATTCGCGTATTTCAAAGCACTGGTGCTAAAATTAGAGTGCCATTTTATAAATGTGCCAATTTTGACTAAACTACCTAGTTCTTCAGGATGTTTCTGGGGAGAAATTGTCCATACTGCCTCTTAAACTTTCCATCCACACAAAAACTAAAAAAAAAATCCAAGATGTTGCTCTGAGACCCACAGATATATTGGGGTTTGAGTATAACTCATGGGCTGCCCATCTCTACTATTAGCAGTGTATATTGTATATATTATAACTCATTATAATAGCAACACTATTGCTTTGTGTATCATGCTGAAGGGCTATAGGAGTTAATTTTTTTTAAAGTATAGAATAGAAAAACACCCCCCCAAAAAAATAAATTAAATTCAGGCCATCTCTTATTTAAAGGGACACTCTAATTCATATTAGTTTCCAATAAATGGAACATATCAGAGGAAATACTGCTCATAGGTTTCAAGAAAGCAGCAGGAATTATAGCAATTATAGCAACACAGATAAAACAATGGACAACAATGGACAACAATGGACAACAATGGACACTTTTTGAGCACTACTTTTATGCTGAGAAATCTCTCATACTGATTGCAAAGGTTACAAAGAAAGTTATGTAAATGCTCTGGAAAATGTTCCTATATGGTAAACAATTGTTTTCACTTTTTGTTTTAATTTCTGTTTTGAAAAAAAAAAAGCTTGTGCAGGGCTTTAGATTTGATTCCAAAATAATGCTTTGGAATTTACATAAGTATAAACAAAGTACTTGTCTGGAATGTCTTCAAAGTTACATTGTTTCTTAGTTTGTATAGCATCATGTTAGATCAATCTTTTTTTTTAATGTTAATAATAAAGTGCACAGAGGAAGAATTTGGTTTAAAAGGCAAATGAATCTTTCTATAATATTCTGGAAAAAATAAAGGTGTTCTCTCACAAAATTAGGCTCCTTCTCAAAATATATATATACTATATATAAATATAAGAAAAAACTATATATTCTGTTCTGATAGAAAGATAAATATTCTGTAAATAATATCAAACACAACAAGACACCACTTCATTCTGAAGATTAAACATCTGCCCTCATATAAAGTAGATTAGTAAACAATATCGTGCTGTTTTAGTATATCTGCATCAATTTTAACTGATTAAGAAAATTTACCTGAACTTCTACTTCAGTGATGCTATAGAGTGGAGGCCCTCCCTTTGTCAGCAAGATCCTATTAAGAGCTTCCCTGGACATCTTTCTAGGTAGGTACCAACTCAATGGAAATGGAATCCTTGAAGCAAACCATGGTTTTGTCAAATTATAGTAATTATCAGCTTCAATCCAAAAAGTATACAGCTGTATCATGAAGATAAAGAATGTTAATATTCAAGAATGAGGATACATTCTATAAAGACCACAATATTCTTTTAATTCTTAAAAACTAAACTCAGATTTTTTACTGACGCTTTTCAGTTCAAAATCTAAGAGTTTATACATATACATAGCCCAGATTTATGACTAGGGAAATTCAGCACATTTATTATAACGAAATGACTAGAAATAACGTTTTTCTTCCTCTAAGGGCATATTCTTCCTGAAATATCATTTGTGTAACTAATACAGGCAGAAGCCTATATAATAAAAATATAAAGAACATTTGTAAGTTTGTTTGCTTTGTGCCATTTCACAATATAAATATAAAATCCACTTATTTTGAAAACTAATAATCTATTGCATATTACTGCTGCTTCATTAATTTCATTTGCTTTTCTGCATTTGCAGTTCTATGTTTTATATGAACCATCTACAGAAAACATATAAATATTTTAATAAAATAAATCATAGCACCCTTTTCATCTTCTAGTTTTCTGTTGAAAGATTTTAATCAAATCTCCATTCACAGTGCGAAGTAACACACTCCAGACTTAGGTTGAACCATTGTTTTTAAGAAGTAGGCCACACAAGTATAACTTATAAACCTGATTAAGCTTTCTGTTTAGTTAAATTAAGCTCATTTTCAATTATAAATTTAAATGTTGATTTTAAACAGATACCTCCTTAAGTGTTTTATACTAAATTCATACGAACACTAGTCCCAAATTAAGTTCCATTAATTTCAGTGATAGGAATATGAGGAGGTTATTAAGTTATACAATCAAATTCAATTTAAAACTAACAACATGAAAGCAAAACCTGCTGCTTCTAATTGGACACTGGATTGCCAAAGTTGGAAATATTAAGGAAAATGTTATACTGCATGGTTTAAGGAGAACATCAAAATATCAATTTCTGCCAATCTATGCTTTCTTTATAGCTAACACTATCTTCAAACAACCAAAATGATACCTATATCCATGGAAGTGCCAAATGGAGTAGACAGAAATCAAATTGACTCTACTATTGCTAAAAAAGGTTAGAAGACTTCACTTATAGTATCAAACAGAAAGCCAGGTGCTAGCTTGGAAGAGATTAGAAACTATAATACTCATGTGCAAGTTTTAAGTTAGACTAAAGAAGAACAAGAAAGATAGACAGTTTCCACAATATGAATATATATCTACCATTTTCACGGAGAACATCAGGAATCACTTTGAAGTTCTGAGGTCATTGAGACAGAACCAGAGGAACTGGTTAAAGAGGAAAGTGAAAAGAGACTGCCAAAGATGAAGAAACAGAAGAAAGCAAACTGTCAGGAAAAAAACATCAAAATTGCCAAGAAGAGAAGCCAAAGCCAAGAAAGGTAAAAACCTCAGCAAGGAACTTAAGAGAGCTTTTAGAAGAGACATGAAGCACTATTACAACATCTATAAAGACACAGAAGATGGAAGCAGACATTTTAAAAGGATAATCTTCTGACAAATCTCTGAAGAGAGTTTCAATCTCAAAGTGGTATGCTAAAGGATGCCAATGGACATATAGTAACTGATTAGAAGATCAAAAATTAAAGGGGCATACTAAAATATTACACAGTAGAAATGCCAACATCCAAGGTGCCTTAAAACACATTCCCTATTTACACAATTCTTAGTATTAGAAGATGAAATTACAGTAGATCAGCATCCTGGTTATTATTAAGTCAGAAGGCTATAGGAACTGATGGAATACTCACAGAAATAGGGCAAACAACAAAAGAAAAATCAATAAAAGTTCTAACCAAGCTATGCCAGCAAATCTGGAAAATGACATAATGGCCAACAGATTTGAAGAGGTCAATCTACATTCCTTTTTTAAAATTTTCTTTTCTTTTTTCATTTTTAAATTATTATTTTTTTACTAGCTTATAGTGTAAAATACAAAAATACAAAATCAAGTAGTGGGAAACAAAGGGGAGGAGAAGGTAAAGAGAGAAGTGTGGGAGAGAGGGGGGAAAGAAAAAAAAGGGGTTGACTTCAGACTCCCTCTCTTGCGGTAGAATAAGGCATTAACATCGAACCTCAACTTTTTACTTTTCAATAACAGTATAAACTGGCCATTTCTATAACAGCAAATCAATCTAATCAATAAAACCCAAAATCAAAGTTTCATTTTTTCCACCTCAAGCACAAAGTCCAAGAAGTTTCCAAGTAGAAACAAAAGTATTTATATTCTTTTCTTTGATCAGAATCAGAATCAAAATTGAGCTGGAAGGGACCTTGGAGATCTTCTAGTCCAGCCCCCTGCTCAAGCAGGACACCCTATATCATTTCAGACAAGTAGCTGTCCAGTCTCTTCTTAAAAACCTCTAATGATGAAGCACCCACAACATCTGAAAGCAAGCTGTTCCACTGGTTAATTGTCCTCCCTGTCAAGAAGTTTCTCTTTAATTCCAGGTTGCATCTCTCTTTGATCAGTTTCCAATTATTGTTTCTTGTCTTGCCTTCTGGTGCTTTGGAAAATAAATTGACCCCTCCTCCTTGTGGTAGCCTCTCAAATACTGGAATACTGCTATCATGTCCCCCCCCCAGTCCTTCTTTTCTCTAGACTGGCCATTCCCAAATTCTGCAACCATTCTTCATATGTTTTAGTCTCTAGGCCTTTAATCATCTTAGTTGCTCTTCTTTGCACTTTTTCAAAACTTTTTCAAAACGGTTAATTTAGCCATCTCTGCTAACTCCATCAATTTTTGTAGCCATTCATCCATGGTGGGAATCGAAATGTCCTTCCATTTTTGTGCGTAGTCTTGCTGCCGTCAACATATATAAGATCAAAATTCCAAATTTTTTCCCAAGTCTTTTTCCATTAAGCCCAAAAGAAAAGTTTTTGGTTTTATCTTTATATTCACTTTAAGAATATTCTGTAAAGCGGTCAATCCAATACCAAAAATAGGAAATTTAACTATGTGCACACACCTATCATACAATATCCTTAATTTCACATGCTAGTAAAATAATGCAGTATAACATTTTCCTTAATATTTCCAACTTTGGCAATCCAGTGTGCAATTACAAGCAGCAGGTTTTGCTTTCATGTTCTGTTAGTTTTAAATTGAATTTGATTGTATAACTTAATAACCTCCTCATACAATATCCTTAATTTCACATGCTAGTAAAATAATACTTCAGATCATCGAACATAGATTAGAACCCAAATGGAAAAAGAAACACGATATTGAAGTTGGCTTTAGAAAAGGCCAAGGAACATGAAACATTATTGCTGATGCATGATGGATAATTAAGAAAGAATACCAAAAAGAAGTTGTAGTATGTGATCCATTGGTTATAGAAAGGCATTTGATTGTGTTAATCATGTCAACTATGAAATGTGCTTAGAAAAACAGAGATTCCAGAGTATCTCATTGTTCTAATGTAAAACCTATATACAGGGTCAAGAAGTGACAGTATGGACAGAACATGGCAAAACAGATTGGCTCCAGATTGACAAAAAAGTGAGACAAGGATATATCCTTTCATTTATTTGACTTATTTGCTGGATATACATTATGGGAAGCTGGGTTGAAAGAGATGAATATGATTTTAAAACTGGAGAAAGAAACGTCAGTAACCTGCATTACAATGATATTATCCTTGATAGCTGAAAATGAAATGAATCTGCAAAGAATGTAGTGAAAATTAAAATTAAATAAAAAGAAAACCAAATTAATGACATCAGGTATAAAAACAAGGCTTAGAATTGACAATGAAGATATTGAAGTAATAGATAGCTTCTGCTTTTTAGGATCAACCATCCATAGTAAAAGAACAAGTAGTCAAGAAGTACACTACAGATTAGCATTTGGTAGAACAGCTAAGAAGGCCTTTAAAAAAAGATGCCATGATGTGTTTATACTACAAAGATTGGAATAGTGCTAGCAGTAGTATTCCCTGAGCCACTTTATGGAAACAAGATAGGAACAGTATTGACAATTTTGAATTCTGGGATTGGAGAAGTGTCCCGAGAATACCATGCACTGCCAAGAAAACAAACAAATGGATCACTGAACAAATCAACCCAGAGTTCTCTCTCAAGACATAAATGATCAGGCTCAAATTATGCTACTTCAAACACATTATATGAAGTCCTAACTCTGGAGAAGGAGCTAATGTTGAGGGGAAAAAATGAAGGAAAGAGAAGAAAGGGATTACTACCTGTAAGACTGATGCATCACTTGAAGGACCAATTTAGGGGCAGATTGTCATAGAGAAAATAAATCTATGTAATGGCGAAGAGTTGACTCTAACTTGATGGCACATAATTTCAATGAGAAAATGATAAAATATTAACTTCGGCATATATGCCTATTTTTAAGAGTATTATCTACTGATCATCTTAGTGCAAACCTATATAAACATGAAATTTACTGCCCATTGCCTAACATTATCCTGGTTTTTCTAAATCATTAGTGAATTCAGTGTTATGTATCTGCAGTGCATGCTGGATAAAAGATTAGCTAAGTACTATTGCTTTGCTGCCCTCATTTTTCCTGTTAGAAAATCAGGAGAAACATCTGCCAATCACGTTTCTGCAGCAGAAATGGAACAAATACAACACTGGGCTCTGTTGGATGGCTTTAGGTCAGTTTGTGTGCTGTTGTTTCAACAAACCATTCTGGCATAATATATTTGTAAAATGTCAATTCATTCCCATGCTGTTTTTCCTGAGAATGATTCCTGGTCTTTCATTTCACTGTCATGTTACTACAACCTTGAGGAAATTAGTAGGTACAGTAGAAAAAGTATTAACAAAAATATCAACTAAACCTTTTAGTGCCGTAATGCAAATCCACCAACTTCTGACTCACCTGCAAGTTCCTTGTGTAGCATCAGGTGTACTTCCAATGAAACCATAAACTGAGTCTGACCATAAGCACCCATCCTTATAGATATATTTATATCAATATAAAAGTGATGAATTGATTAAAATAAGTCTCTCAAGCTCAATAGGAAATGAATAACAGAACGGTGACAGAAGAGGCTTATTAGGAACCAATAGGCAGCGATGTGGCCACATCAGGTAGAACATCCAATTGGCCCACTGCTAATCACCTGACTTCACCTCCAATATACAGGAAAGTGAAACATAACAAGCTTGCTAAGTCACAATAAATGGAAAAATGACATTTTAACATTCATACAGCTATGTACAATTTAAGTCTGTCAGTAACAACTGTGGACCAGGGAGAAGATGAAGGCCATAATTTGAGGATGGAGTGGAAATAACTATGCTGTGGTTAAATGCACTTTGAGAGACCATTTGGCTCTTACCATAGCAGGATGTAGTTTTTCTTCAAGCAGTGCAATGTAGGCCAGTGTGTCAGCTCCTTCCTTTGAAGACAATTCGTAATCAGCATTATATTTCTGCCAAAAAAAAAAAAGGCAGCAGAGAGCTATATGAAACGTTCTAAAAAGGAACTAGATGTAACAACTGAAGTTAATTACACATTTTATATTTCACTAAACACATGGAATAATAAAAATAGCATTTCTATCTTTTTCTTTGAAATTGATTTAAGTATTTTAAAATATAGATAGCATGACTACATATTTGAAATGCCTGTTTGAAATGTTCTGAACATGGAAAATTCTGTTTTCAGTTTTTGCTTTGAGACAGGAATCAATGGAGCTTTTTGAATGTTCTGATGTCTACAACTGGTTTGTGTTTGTTATTAAAATAATCTTTAAGCTAAAAAGATCTAGAGAATGCATTGGAAAATAGAAGGTTTCGTCCCTATTACCACTGGATAGAGCTAAATGAAGAGAGGTGAGTTATGATGGGATATAATCTGGGACGGAGGGAGTGTATTCCAGAGAAGTAAGAGACAATTGAGTTCAGATAATTTGTGTGAGAGGATGAAGATGGTCCCTCCCTAATAGTTCCCAGAATATACTGTATCTTTGTATAGGTAGTAGTCTGCTTCAGTTTGGTAAGATTTTGTCTATAGGTGTGGAACAATACAGAAATCTGCTTGGAAGAATCACTCTGGGTCTTTCTTAGTCTTGGGAACCTGACGTGGGGTGAGGGAGAATCAGTTAACCATGAATGTTCTCTGCTGATAACTGTTGTGTTTAGGGTTTTGTTTTTGTTTTTTGCTTTGAGGAAGTTAAAACTGCATGGGCTGCAACATAATGCTATTGTTCCTATGGAGTCTTTATGTGTTTTATCTTTCAGGCAGATTATAAAACACCAAAGTGTATACTGTGCATATGCATCCTAAATTATGTTGCTATGCTGCTCTCTTTTCAGACTATTAAATGCATGAAACAATGTTACACTGTCTGTCTGTTGAATTTGAAGGCAGGCTGTCAGATCCAAGCAACTAACGGAATCATCTACTCTCATTCAATCCTTCTTACTTCTTAAAACATCTGTGAGGCCTCTTCAGCAAGTTTCATTATGGATACATTTGTTATCAATAAACAATTTAGTTCTCTCTGGTAGTGGGCTCCATAGTATTGAAACGAATCCAATAAATTTCTGGAGCTGAAACAAGCTTGCTTTGAACTACAGTTAAGGAAGCAGGTTAAATTACATTTTGTCAGCTGTTTTACAGGTAGTCCTCAACTTATTTAACAACCATTTAAAATTACAATAGCCTTGGAAAATGTGTCTTATGGTCTGTGAAGCACTTCTGGCCATCATAAATGCCATACTGCCCTGCACAGTTATGTCTGCATTTCAGGAGCAGCTCTGTTCGTGCAGCCCCACAAAGGATTTCCCCTCTCTGCATAGAGGGGAGGAGAAATCCTTTAGCGGGCTACAGGATCAATGCTGAAATCCTAAAGATTTCAGCTCTACTCCAGCAGCCTNTCACAAAGAATTTCCCCTCCATACACAAAGGGGAGCTGAAATCTTTTGGTGGACTGCAGAAACACTCCAGAGCAAAAGGGCTGCTTGCCAGGAGGATTTCAGCCCGGTGTAAACTTAAAACCTTCCAACTGGCAGGCCTTTTGCTCTCAAAGAACTGCCTCCCAAGAGGATTTAGCTCCATGGCAATTCTTTCACTCCATCCACTTAATGAACAGATTGATTGTTAATGACCACTTTGTTCCACAACAGAGATTCCAGTCCCAATTGTGGTCACACGCTGAGATCTACCTGTTATCAAATTATTTAACTTTCATATTTTTTATTAACTGGTTATTTTCAAAAGGGATGCTAATTGTGTTTTTATTGTGTTACTTATAGATTGCCCAGAATTCTTAATGGCACTGGTTTGATATACATTTTCTCAGCAATCTACATAAATAAAAATGTAACTGTTCATTTGTTCAAAATCTTAAATCTCCGAAAGTTCTTCACCGATTGCTTTGAAATTTTGACACAACGTTGCATTCGAATACGCGCGTGTTTTTATATACCTACCCACAAGCATTGTGAAATTAAACATATTAGAAACGTGCACTTTCTCTTTTCTTTCTTTTCCATTTAACCAGACTGAGCCACAGCAACGCGTGGCCGGGTACAGCTAGTAATAAATATAAAATGTTCCTTCTGAGTCTTGGAATCCTCAACGTCACAAGCAGAAAAGTATATTTTTGCTGTTGCATTATTTATGAACTATGCTGAAGAGATTCTATCCTTTTTAGCTCTTCAGTGGTCCAGTTCTAGGGCTGTCTAGATAGCCTGCAAAAGGTATGTTTAAGTGTTGCTTAATGGGAACCTTTGAAGTATATCTTTTATAAAGTTATGCTCTTGGCATAGTATATAGCATATACTATAGTATATAACAGAATGAACTATTATTTGCATGAGTCTATAACAAAAAAAAAGGAAGAAAACAGTTGATTTCTAGTTTCTATTGTTCTATGATAGAACATTCAAAATATTTCAAATTGCATTACATCAGAACATTCTGATGAAATGATGGATTTAGGAGATACAATTCAGCTCTACAGTGAATGTGCATAGCCAACATCCAGTTTCAGAGTTGTTCCCCAGGAGAACAAAATATAATTCTCTTTNTAAGCAGAAACCTGTGATTTGAGCAAAGATAACTCACTCTCCTCCGACTCTTTTGTAAGCAGTTTCTGTTAAGAGAAGAGTTAAACAAAAAAAGAGGAAGACGAATTCTAAGTGCCAATAAAACATGGTTTTTATTTGCCCTGATGCATTTCAGAAAATGTGTTCTTTTTCAAAGACACTTCTAGAATATCCATGAACTGACTATGTCAATTTGTTCATGTACGTTCCAGGAGTGCCCTTGAAAAAGAACACATTTTCTGAAACACCTCGAGCCAAGTTAAAAAAAACAAAACTGGCCCACATTAAAAATAAAATCCTGTTGCCTGCTCTCAAAAGAAAGTATATATCTAACCATACACAGACATAATATATACACATCGTATATACATACATACATACATACATTAATCACTGTCCATTTTGAATACATAACAGAAAGAGGAAACTTGAGAGTTCACAAGGTTGATGCTATATGGAACAAAAAATACCTTGAATTGGACCTAGAAGCAACCCAATGCAACTCCTGGAGCAGAGGTGTGCTGTTGTAGAAGGAGATAACTGCCAATGCCACTGCATTCTGCACTAGCTGAAGCTTCTGAATACTCTTCAAGAACAGCCCCATTACAGAAATCCAATCTGGAGGTGATTAGGACATGAGCAGAGCCTCCCAATCTAAGAATGGGTGCAACTGGTGCACAACATGCAGCTGTGTAAAGGCCCTTCTAGCCGCAACTGCCACTTGCGACTTGAGCAAGAGTTATGTTTTCAGAAGACCTCCAAATTACACAATGGGTCTAACTGGGAAGTGTGACCCCATCCAGCACCAAAGATGGCAGAGTCCTAGAACTGGTAAATCCCCAAACCCAAAGCTACTCAGTTTTTCCAGGGTTCAGCAGAAGCTGTTGTTCCCCATCTAGTACCTCACTGGGCACTGGGATAAGAGGCTTATAGTGTCACTTAATTTCTTACAGATTGAGATATATGATTGGGTATCATCAGTGTACCAATGATATATCAGGGTGAGGAATAAATTCATTCACACGGCTTCATGTAAATGTTGAATAGGAGAGAAGAAAGCACCAAACTCTGCAGCACCTCACATGGTAAAGGCTGAGGGCAGGATCTCTCCTCCCAAATCACCACCAACTGGAATTGACTCTGGAGAAGGAGGCAAACCAGCACAACACTGTGTAACCCATCCCCAATCCTCTAAGCCAAGATGGAAGAATACCATGGCCAATGGTGCTGAAGGCTGCAGAGAGCTCAAGTAAAACAAGGATGGATGTACAACCCCATCCACTCTCAGCAGAGAACATAGGAATACATGACCAATGCCATTTCAGGCTTGAAAGGTGCCTGAAAGAGAACCAGACAATTTATTTCTTCCAATGTCCTCTGAATCTGTTATGCAACTACCTTCTCAATCACCTTCTGCAAAAAAGGAAAGTTAGATACTGGATGAAAGTATCCCACCATCCCAAAGGGATCCAGCAATGGCTTCTTGAGAAGGAAGTGAAGCAGGATCCCCTTAAGAGGTAAAGGAATAACCACCTTACTCAAAGAAAAAATAAGATTACTTCTTAACTTAAGCAGATAGCAATACAAAGAACAAAGATAGTGACACTGCAATCCTATATCATACAATCACCAAAGCAAAAGGATCTGTACTATGTAGCTGGTATCAACACTAATTAATGGATGTGCTATATCTTCAGTTTCAAAAATTCCACTTCTCTATTATACCACTAATATAGCTACAGTTTGTAGTAGTCCAAACCTGATATAACTATGTCAGAGAAAGTACAAATAGTTTACTATCGATACTGTCCATTTAATATAGAAAATTAAATTAAATGGCCCCAGTTCCTCCAGTATTCCTGTGACAAAACTATATACAGTACTAACAAATATAAAACAAGCCTAGAATATATCATCCTTAGTCTTTAGACATACTGAAATAGGTAATATTAAATATAAAACCTACCTGTTTTCTCAAAAAGTTTAATATTTTTGCTGGCTCAGAAATAGCAATATCATCTGATAATAATAATGGTATATTCCCTAAAAAAGATTAAATCAGATAAGATCATACAAACAGAACTGCATTGATAACTCAACAGATCCTAAAGTTTTATTATATCAGATACCAATTAGTTCAGTATCTAGAATATGAGTTGTATCAGATTGTAATCTATCTTATTTGTCATTTAATCTTTAGATAAGTAATGTCTTTGTAATAATGCTTACATTTTGTAATTATGATACTATATCAGCATACCAGATGTGATAGGTCTTGATTCAGTTACTAGATATATATCATAGCTCTAAATGTTGACAAATCTATTATCCTACCTAATTCCTTTTATATGATTCACACATAGCTTGCATAGTACAATTATGTTTTAAACCAGGGGTCCCCATGGCTGTTAGGAACTGGGCCATGCCAGCAGCAGGCAAGTGAGCGAAGCTCCATCTGTGCACCCGCGGGATCTATGTTGCACGCAAAATCACCCACCCACCCACCCCGGGTCTGTGAAAGTCAATTTTTCTTCTAAAATCCATTCCTGGTGCCAGAAAGGTTGGGGACCACTGTTTTAAACAACAGAACCACATCAAAGCAATTTGTTCAATATTTTGCTGCACTTATCTTGCAACATAGTGCAGGTATAAAACAAACTTTATTTTGAGTCTATCCACTGTTTGTTTTGTATTTCAAGACTGGACTATAAGCCAAGTCAAACCAATTTCTTATTTAGAGAGTTCTAAGTATATATACAATCTCTACTTGAAACAGAAGTGGGCAATTAATTTTCCAAGGGGGCCTCATGAGAAATTGGGACAGTTGTGGAGGGCTGGTGCGACCGGCACCCCCCTGCAAGTTCCTACCACTACTTACCCCTTGTTGCCTCCCCCACCCACCACTGCCATGGACCAGACACAGACAAAGAGCCAGATGTAATGCTTAGGACATAAAATGCTCAGGTCTGACATAAATGTACCATAAAACTTTTAAAATATTAAAGGAATACCTCTTTGTGCTTTCCATTCATTATCTATTACACTGATTTTCAATGGTGCGCCTGAAAACCTGGCATAAGTCTGTAATAAAAGTTAAAAAACACAATTCAATTTCCTATTCAGAAATTTTTTGAAAGTGAAAATGACTACTCAGCTTGGAAAAACCGCAGCTACTTCTTTAAAGTTCATGCTTGCATTATGCTGTTGGCATAGTAAACATCAAGGCTAAAATAACCAATAGGAAATTATCAATTAATTCAATGAATTTTAGTGGGAAATTAATTGTCCACTAGAAGAGAGCTAAATTTAAAGAGTTGCTTTTTAAATACATTTACCAATATTTAGAAAAACAAATCCACTTCACACCCAAAGTTGAATCCAGTTGAATCTAGTGATTAAGGTACTGCTCTAGAAACCAGGAGACTATGAGTTCTAGTCTCACCTTAGGCATGAAAGCTGGCTAGGTGACTGGTCCAGTCACTCATTCTCTGTCAGCCAACTCACCTCACAGGGTTGTTGTTGTGGGGAAAGTAGAAGGAGGAAGGACTATTAGGTATGTTCATTGCCTAGAGGTATTTATAAAAATAATAATGGATGGATGGATGGAAGGATGGACGGACAGATAGATAGAATTTCACTTCCTGATTGTAAATAGATTTGGAAATGGAAAATGTCCATGTTTAATTTTTCCACATATGAAGCTAGTTTATCTCAAGACAAACAATACAGGAATCACAAATGCTGACATACTTTTTCAAATCATTATTTCACTATCCTAAAGCCTCAGAATCAGTCCTGAAAGAAGTCCAGACTTCCAAATGAAACACAACTTTCCTCAATCCAATGTCTTGAATACATTAATTTTTCAAATCTTATTAATCTCATTCAGAAAGTTCAGAGTTTTACAGCATATTAAGAGTTGTAGTGCAAGTATTTGAAGGGCACAATTTTGGGAAAGGCGGTTTTAGTCAACAGTAATTCCTGTGGAGCTTCTGTGATGTGGCCAGAGGCATATTTGAGTAGATATATGTGAGACATATTTGAGGGCTGCCACAGAGAAAATGGGGTCATCCTATTTTCCAAAGCATCAGAAGGCAAGACAAGAAGTAATGCATGGAAACTAATCAAGGAGAGAACCAACCTTGAACTAAAGAGAAATTTTCTGACAGAACAATTAACCAGTGGAACAGCTTGCCTTCAGAAGTTGTAGGTACTCCATCACTGGTAGCTTTTAAGAAGAGATTGGGCAGCCATTTTTCTGAAATGATAGAGGGCAGGGATCCCCAACCTCTGGGCGGTAGACTGGTACTGGGCCGTGGCATGCCAGCAACCAGTCTGCACAAGTAAGCAAAGCCCATCCGTGGGATGCAGGCAGCACACAAAACCATGCACTCTCCAGTCCTTGGAAAAACCTTTTGGTTTGTTGGTGCCCAAAAGGTTGGGGACTTCTGGTATAGGGTCTCCTGCTTGAGCAGGGAATTGGATTAGAAGACCTCCAAGGTCCCTTCAACTCTGTTATTCTGTTATATTTTCAGAGACCAGACAGATATCTTTTTCAGTTTAGCACCATGCATATTTGCTCAAAAGTCAGATTGATCATTAATCTTTTTATTATATATACAGTGTACTTCAGATACATCTGCCAAAAAATGGATTTTTTTAAAATTAGCATCTAAAAAAAACTATGTTGATTCCCTGAAGAAAAACAATGCAAATTCCATGATTGCACATAAAAATAGAAACAATAAATTAATATATTGTACAAATAAGGCCAGAGGAAGTTTGCCTTCTGAAGATGGAAAGCACAGATATAATAACTCAGTAAATATATGCTGCAGGTATGAAATTACACCATTTCTTTCAAGTCCATGCATTCCAAATGTGTTGAATTGTAGTATCCATCATCATTGTCAAGCATAGCGGTCGGATTAAATTAAGACCGGCATTAAAGGCAATTCCTAATTACTTAATCTGGGAGATATTATAGCCCGTCCCTGTAATGCACTAAACTATAGACCCCGAAAACTAACGGCTGCAATACTTAATCCAGTTTTATTTCCCTCCAGAACTGATGCCCCATTTATACAGACTCGTTGCAACTTTCTGGGGAAGCCAGCCCAACAACGGCCCTGGAAATGCTGAAGTTCCGTTTCCTAGTTCTACCCCAGGGAAGGCCACCGTGCCAGCTGGGCCGGTTCTTGCAGTACCCAACACCGGACAACCCTCCCGTTTCGCCTTCCAGCATCAGTTTTCGTTTCTCCTCCCCACAAGAGGCTTTCGCTCGCGTGACCTGGCCAGTCCCCCGTTACCATGACAACGAGGCACTCGGCGTGCACCGACGGCAATCCCCAGTCACCGCCCCAGCAACTCAGCTCCATTGAGGACGCCATGTTGACACCGTTCACCTTTGGCCTCGCAAAGCCCCGCCCCGTGAGTTGTCTTCGCCTCCCCGTAGGCTGGGCGCTTGAGGCTGCCGCTCCCGCGTATTATCGTTGGTCTCGGGGACGAATGAAGCGCGTGCCCGACTCAACAACTTGAGCGCGCGCGCGATCTCCCTGTCGGCCGTTCTAAAGAGACAGGCGCCTTCCCAACCTGGTGTTCCTCGTTAAATTCCGGGGTGCAAAATATGAGCGAACACAAATAGGAGCAGTGAGGTCGCGTTTTGAATCTTTTGCTCTCATGTCACCTGATTTCTTGCTCTCCAAAATCAGATAGCGCTGAAATACGCTGGCTTTCACTTTACCTTCTCCCCAGCGAAGCATCTCCTTTCGGGGAATGATGAGATGTTCAAGTTCAACAAACGTGACAAGTACTTGGTGGGGAAAGCTGATCTTGCAGTTCTCTAGTCTGGGTCCAACTATTGCGAACTATTGGCGCTGTTGAGATTGCTATGCGGAAGACTTTCACTTACCTTTCAGGAGCTTCATTTTCGACAAATTCATATTTCACGTGCAAAACAATGTTAGTGAAATAGGGCTCACTTTTGTAGCATACAGAGATTGGCAACGCACTTCCAGCTAAGGCGATCTCGGTTATGTGTAAACATTCCCATCTTCAATTTTCTACAGTTAAGGAGGGAAGCTTTCTTCATACAATTCAACAACGCTCAGCAAAATATTCAGAGGGTTTTCTAAAAAAAAACACAAACCCCCACTGAATTAACTTAGTCATTGACCACTTACAGCTTTCTCACAAGAAACAGGCCTACAGATGTCTCTTTAAAAAATGTTGACTTTATAACATATGTCGCTGAAACAGAACCTTTAATTGCAAATCTTATCATTGTTTTTATTAATTTATGCTAAGATAAATAGGTGACTATTAAGTTTATATCCCGCCTTTCTTCCAGGCATTGAAGTTAATATATTGTTTCCTCTTTCAATTTTATCCTCAGATAGGTTAAATGTTTAGGCTTTAAGATGGATGGACTTCCACTCCCATAATTCCCTAACCAGCCTTGAGAAATATTGGATTAGACTATGAGATAATGCTTGGTCCACTGAGCTTCTTATTTGAGGATGAATAAGACCCTAATTCTTCCCAATGTCACTGCAGTGCTTAAACATAACTCCACCTTTCTCTTCCTCTCTCCCAGTTTTATCTATGGAATTTTTTACATAGAGTGATCATCACAAGGCTTATGGCTTTGTAACTGAAGGAAAATGAACTTGGGTTTTCAAAATTTGCAGATTATATCTCAATTTTTAAGCCATTATTGTTTTAAATGTTCAGTGTTTAAACATGGGTTGTTGAAAAAACACAATTTGTTTCACATATTATAAACTATGATATCCTGGATTGTACAACTAAGCCAAAAGCACATTAGAGCGAGGATGATGTATGCACCCCAAATTTTAGAATACCATCCCTAGTCAAAAGTTCTGTAGTATGCTATATGAACATGTAAAGTTTTCAAGATCTATTGTTTTAAAAAAGCAGTCCTTCAAAGAAAATGTTCTGCAACTTTAAAAGAAGATCTTGAGGAAAATACTGTATCTGGTACGCCTGGGGATACAAGAAAAATAACT